CGGGAACAGTAACTTCCAGATTCGTTTCCACGTATCATCTTTGGTGCTATCTAGATTGCCTGGCGGTGATGTGCTCATCCCCGCACCCCCGTTTTGTTGTTGATTAGCTAGCTGTACATGAAGCTTGTAGGCATTTTTAACCAAGTGCGAGCCCTTTGCATCATACTGCCATGCTATGAAATCATGGACCCCTTCCCTGAGTGGGATTGCGAGTATGTGTTGCGTGTCGTCCGCCCAGAAAGTCTCCTTGACCAACCATTCATCCCAGTTTCCGGTCGCCGGGTCTATCAAATCGCACACTCGCTCCAGGAGATGTGCGCCTCTCGATGTGATAACATGCCGCAACCAGGGTCTTGGAATCCAAGGGTCCACCCAGATATTAACATCCATACCATCTCCAAATCTACAAATATAGCCCTCCTTGAACAGCTCAAGTCCATGCAACAAACTCCGCCAAGCATAGGAAATGCCATCTTTTCGGGCTGCCTCCAAGATATGCGTGTCGGGAAAGTATTTTGCTTTCAGTAGCTTAGCACAGAGTGTGTCTGGGTTCTGAATAAGTCTCCAAATTTGACGAGACAGCATCACTACGTTGAAGCTATACATATCCCGAAATCCAAGCCCACCCCTCGCCTTTGATTCTGTTAGTTTTCGCCAATTGATCCAGTGCATTGTGTTTTCCTTCTCTTGCTGACTCCACCAGTAATTGCCAATAAGTGAGCTGAGTTCCTTGCAAAAGGTTTTTTTCAAGTAAAAACAGGACATAGCAAAGGTCGGAATCGCTTGCGCCACAGCCGTGACTAGTGTTTCCTTCCCTGACTTTGCGATCATCCTCTCCTTCCACCCATAGACCCTTCCAGCCATACCACTCTTTACAAAGGAGAATGCCTTCTTCCTCGATCAACCCACATGTACGGGTAGGCCAAGGTATTTCTCATTCCATGTTTCACTCCGAATCTGCAGCACCTCCTTCACCTCTTCCTTCACTGACGTTGGAGTGTTTGGACTAAACATAATGGCAGATTTCTCAATATTGATGCACTAGCCCGAGCAGTCCTCGTAAAGGTCAAGTATTGCTCTCAACACTGCTCCATGTTCTTGGTTTGCTTTCAACAGCAGCACCGAGTCGTCGGCAAACAAAAGATGGGACACCACCGGGGTTGCACTACAAACTTTCACTCCGCTGATCCTGTCGGCCCTTTCTGCATCATGGAGTAAGGCTAAAAGTCCCTCAGCACAAATGACAAAAATATACGAGGACACCTGGTCCCCCTGTCTTAGGCCACACAAAGGACAGAACTGCTGAGTTAGCTCGCCATTCACCTTGATCTGATAGCGGACCGAGGTTATACATTTCATGATCAACTCAACCCAAGCATTGCTAAATCCCAACTTGGTAAGCATGGCTCGCACAAAGCTCCATTCGACACAATCATATGCCTTACTCATGTCAGCTTTCACCGCTGCCACCCCATCTCTTCCCTTCTTTTTATTGAGTAGATAGTGCGACACCTCATAGGCCATGAGGATATTATCCGTGATCAGCCTTCCAGGGACAAATGCACTCTGGTTCTCTGATATGATAGCTGGGAGGATCAATTTCAGACGATTAGCATTGACCTTGGACACATGCTTGTAGATTACATTGCATAAGCTGATGGGCCGGAGATCCTCAATCAGGTTAGGGTTCTTGACCTTCGGGATGAGCACAACCACCGTATCATTCCACCCTTCCGGCATCTCAGCCCCATTAAGAACTGCAAGTACTTCTTCGATAACCTTGTCCCCCATAAAGTGCCAATGACGCTTTTACACTAGAGATGGCATTCCATCAGGTCCAGGTGCCTTAAGATCACCAATATGGTCCAATGCCGCCTTGACCTCTTCTCTAGTAAATTTAGCTTCCAGTATAAGCCTCATGCCCTCTGTGATCCATGGCTTGACTTTCTGAATAAGCTCATTCATCCTGGTGCCTACTGATGAGGGGAGTAGTTCCTGAAAAAACGAGCAAATATAGTTAGAAAGTCCCTCTCCCTCCTTCACTACTGATCCGTCCTCCCTTCTTAACTCCTTCACTCTATTAGTCTTCCGTCTAGCATTTGCCACGGCAAGTACTTCGTGCTTCTATTACCATCCCGCAGCCATGTAACATGTGATCGCTGCTTAGCTTTTATCTTCTTCTTCTCTTCTAACTCTTCCACACCACACCGAAGTCTAGCCTCCTCCCTAATCTTGGTTTCTGACACCGGGGCACATATACACTTCTCCAAGTCTCATTTTGCTTTTTTAAGTCGGCCTTCTAGCACCCTCGCAACTTCTTTGTGCCATTTCGTCATTCTTCCTGCAACACTCCGCAGCGCTTGGGCCACATTTGCTGTCTCTCCCAGCACACCCTCCTCCCATGCTCCTTGTATTTCAGCGCTACAACCTTCTTCCTTGATCCACCAAGCCTCGAACCTGAACCACCTATCCCCACGTGCCGGCGTTCTGCCTTCTCCTTGGGTGCACACTATAACCGGCCGATGATCCGAGTGTCTGGGCGGCCCATCAAGCACAGAATAATTTGGGAACATCTCGCACCAAGCTGAGTTAGCCGTGGCTCAGTCCAGCCTTTCACATATGTAATTGTTGATGTCCTTGATGTGATTCCTCCAAGTATATTTATCCCCTGAATAGCCAATGTCGCTGAGTTCACAAGCTACCAAAGCTTCCCGGAAATTATACAGCATGATTTGTGGCCGCAACACTCCTCCAACCTTTTCATCATCCGAGAGGATTTCATTAAAGTCTCCTAGGCATAGCCATCGCCAACCATCCTGATGTTGTTGCCCCAACAGTCTTGGTGTACGCCATGTGTCTTTCTTCCGCTTTGTAACTGACTCACCATACACACCTATCAACCTCCATATCCTTCCATCCTCCTCCTTCACATCAACATCTATATGTCTCCTACCGTACGATCTGAGCGCCACGTCTATACCGCGTCGCCAGAACAACACCCCCCCTACTTCTTCCTTCCGAATTCCATGCTGTCATATGAACAAGGCCAGTCATCCACTTGAATTTCTCGAGCTCTTTCACCGTCATTTTCGTCTCCGCCAAGAACACAATGTCGGGCTCCTTCGTCCTCCCCGGGTCGAGGAGGCTGCGAACTACCGGGCCGTTCCCGAGCCCCCGGCAGTTCCAACCGATGATTTTCATTGCTCCTGGCGGGGCTGCTCTGACAACCCGGCCGATATGCTAGTAGTGATGACTTCCACCTCCTCCACCTCTCCTGGAACAACCATCTCTCACCAACAGTTTTTCCCTTCTTGTGGTCCCTCTCCAGATCTTCATCCACCAAACTCCTCTTCTAACCTAGCACCACTTCCCTCTCCTTCGACCTCTCTATTGGTCTCTCCCTCCCCTCCTTGCTAAGCTTCTTGAAACGTTTGCCATTTACATTTCCTTTCTTCCCTCCCCCCCCCTCCCCCCGCAGTCCCCTTCCTACCAGCCTCCTTCTCGTCTCCACTCCCAACACCTTCATGCACAGCCTCGTGACCTTTCGGATCCACCACCATATCCTTAACCTGATCACTGTTATTAACTCGCTGGTCATCTCCAACCTCTAGGACCCCAACATTCACCGTATCCTTCCCCTCACCCCCTCCTCCTTCCAGCAGTAGTTTCTTGGGGTTGCCCGTTCTTTCTCGCGAGAAATCAATTTTTGATGGGTTGGGCACTTCTTCTCCTCCTTCTATCTTGCCATCAGCTCGTCCACTAGACCGAGAATCACTCTTCCTCCAAGAAAGACTGTCGCTGCCACTTCCCGTTTTATGACTCGACCTGTTATAACCAAGTGTATTGCTTCCACCACCAACACGCCTTGAGCTGCGCCAAAACCCCTCATCTGATCCTGTCTTCCTATACCCCATATCTGCTTTTCACCAACGGCAAATTGTGGTGCTTCTCCTTTCATCAGTTTTTCTTTACAGTCCTTCTCCCCATGTCCGATCATCCCACATGTGTAACAGAAATCGGGCAGGTACTCATACTCAAACCGGCACCATCCTCCTTCTCCTTCCCCCCTCATACTCTCAGCTACCTCCCCTTGCTTCCTCCCAGAACCCCGGCTCCCTTCATCCACCTCTTCATCCAGCGTGAACCCTCTCATGAGGGGCTTATTTATCATCATCCGGATCTTTATCCTCAAGAAGTTCCCTATTGCGTTTCCGTTAGAACCCTTATCCGCTTCCACAAACTGCCCTATAATGTTGCCTATCTCCTCAGCTGACTCCGCATTCATCATATCTAATGGCACATCAAAAACCGAACCCAGATCGGAATATTAGTGAACTCATAGTCATCCAGTCTTTTGCTCGGGTTGAAATCTTCCACCACAACTAACTCTTTGTCGAACATCCACGGCCCGCTGTCTATCGCCTTCCTCTTCCCGGATTCCTGGAAGAAAGCGAATAGGAACATGTTCTCCCCCACCTCCTTGCAATCGATCCCTTTGATAGGGCACCACACTTTGCCTAGAGAAAGCTTCGCCGCATCAGGATGTGCAAGCTTCTCCGAGATCACTTTCCCCACCGCCTGCGCCTCGTCACTCTTCCCCTTCTCCTTGGCTGCGATTTTGATGGGTTAGTGACTTGATGCGTGTTTTTAGCGTTAAACAACGGAGGATTAAAGGGCCATTAGATCTTGTTGATAGATCTTGTAGTGGATACTCCGCTCGGAGGAAGTTCAGCAGATTCACCACATCGAAGCGAGGGAAGGGCGAGTGCTCCGCGGCGAATCCGGGGCGGCGTGCTTCCATCTCCTCGGGCGGCGTCGTCAGGTTCATCTTCG